TGAGGGTGAGCTGACCTAGGATGGGTTCAGGTGAGGTTCAGGTGAGTGTCTGATGACTTTCTGGACTTGCTATGCAGCTGAATTTGCTGGTTAGCTTGAGAGTTGCCTAATCTATCCCAGGGCTCTTTGGGGCAGCTGTGGCCCTTGTGTCTTTCATGCTTCTAACCCAGAGTTAGTCTAGACATGTACTTCTGAAAACAGAAATATAAGCATTAACATAGAAACAAAGCTTCTCCTGATTTAAAGTTTGAGCAGGGAAACTGTCACTTCTTTATTCTATCAGCTGATCACTAGATCAGATGACTGGGAAATGCATTCTCTTCTTTGGGTGGAGGCACTGCAAAGCTACTAAGCAAAGGGACTTGAATAGAGAGAGAGCAAAGGGATAAAGAACACTTACATTATTGGGAACTGATCTCAGCTCTGTGACTACCTCCTTCACCAGAGAATTGTTTTGCTTTTATTTCTGGTCTTAGTTAATGATAGACTTTAATACCCTAGTCCCCCAGGTCCAAACCCCAAGAAGTGTTTTAGGCTGTTCTTTCTTCTTTCTATCTTCTGTATTCCCTTGTAAACCCTTTTCCTATGGTCTTTTTCCAGCCCTATCATCAATACTGTCTGGCCTTGACCTCTTTAAGAAGAAATGCTGGGAACCCTCTGTCTCCCCTGGGACACTCTATAGCTTGATCTTCACGTGCCACTTTTGATCACTGGTTTCTCTCTCCTTAAAAACAGGCCTGTCGTGAGCTGGTTTCCAGCTCTACCATCCAGCTTCCTGCCTTCTGTTTTACCCTTTGAGTTAACGAATCAGCAAAGTGTGGCCAGTAGAACAAATGTGGTTTACCACTTATTTTTGTACAGTTGATTTAACTAGAAATGATTTTTTCCTACATATTTTAATTTGTGTGCATGTATAAGCCATCGATCACTGTCAGATGTCATTCCTTAGGAGCCATCCATCTTATTTTTGAGACAGGATGTCTCATCAGGGCCTGATTAGGCTAGGCAGGCTGGCCAGCGAGCTCCAGAGATCCTCCTGTCTCTGATTCCTCAGTGCTGGGATTACCAGAGCACCACACCACACCAGGCTTTTATGTGTGTTCTTGAGCTTGAACTTGGGTCCTCATGTGTGTGTGGCAAGTACCTTACTGATTGTCTCCCCAGCCCGATTTTGTATGTTTTAATGATTAGAAAATAATATTTTGTGACACGTGTGAATTACACAATTCTCCAATGTCTATAAGTTTTATTGAAACAGCTGTGCCCATTCATTTACATATCTCCTACAGCTGCTCTTGCACTAGAGTAGCAGAGTTGAGTCATTACAGTGGAGACCACATGACTCACAAAGCTAAACCATTTACTGTCTGATGTGTTATGAATAGCTTGCCAGCTGTTGCAGTCACCGAACTTATAACGGCTCTCCTTGCATAACATTTTGGTTTGTGGCTCAGTACTTTTTACTATGTTGTTTCTTTGTCTGCCAGTTTTTCTAAAAGAATAGCTTTATTAAGATAAAATTCATATGCAGCACAATTCACCCACTTAAAGTGTCTAGCTCAATGGTTTTTGTTACTTCTAGAGCTGTGCAAATATCACCTCAGTATTTTATTTAGAATGTTTTCATTACCCTTCCAAAATATCTTGCCTTTTTAAATATTTTATTTATTATTTTATGTGTGTGTTTTACATGCATGTGTGTAAGTGCACCAGTGTCATGCAATGCCCACAGAGGTCAGAAGAGGGTGTCAGATCCCCTGGAACTGGAGTTAGGACAGTTGTTAGCTGCCATGTGGGTGCTGGGAATTGAATATGCATCCTTTACAAGAGCAGCCAGTGCTCTTAACTGCTAAGCCATCTCTCCAGCCCCTCAAATATCTTGAGTCACTCTCTATTCCCCCAACTTTTTCTATCCCTAACAACCACAAAGTCTTTTAATTTCTAAATTTGCTCACTTTTGATATTTTGTGTAAATAGAATAGTATGTTTTCTCTCACTATATTGTGAGGTGCCGCCACACTTTTTATGCATATGTATAATGTTTTTATGGTTAATGTTACTGTATATTGTAGCTTGTATCATGTACATGGTTCTTTTTGTTGCTGATTGGTATTCACTTCAAAGCATAGGCAAGGACTTTCTGGAAAGGATTCAAGATCAGAAGAGATAACCCCAAGAGTTAGCAGATGGAATTACATAAAATTAAAAAGCTATACAGTGAAGGAAACAGTCACCAGAGTGAAGAGATGGCCTATAAAATGGGACAAAAATCTTTTCTCTCAGATCCATTTTTAGAACATATAAAGAACTTCAGGGGCTGGAGAGATGGCTCAGCGGTTAAGAGTGCTGACTGCTCTTGCAGAGGACCTGGGTTCGATTCCCAGCACCCATGTGGCGGCTACAAACCGTTCCAGGGGAATCCAAAGCCTTCTTCTGACCTCCGTGGCATTGCACAACATGGGTGCACTCACATACATGCAGGCAATACACTCATACACATAAAAAAAAATTAAAAAAATCTTCAAAAATTAAAAACCCCAGATATCATCCAGTCAATATATGGGCTAGGGAATTGAGCAGACAGCTATCAAAAGATCCATTTTTAGAATATATAAAGAACTTCAGGGGCTGGAGAGATGGCTCAGCGGTTAAGAGCACTCGCTGTTCCTGCAGAGGACGCGGATTCAATTCCCAGCACCCACATGCCAGCTAACAACCATTCTAACTCCAGTTCTAGAAATCTGATGCCCTCTCTGACCTCCACAAGCATTCAGTGACAGGGGTGCACTTACACACATGCAGGCAATACACTCATACACATAAAATAAAAATAAGTAAAATATTTTAAAAAAAGAAGACATGCAGATAACCAACAAATATTTGAAAAAGTGTTCAACCTTCTTATCAGGGAAGTACAAATTAGTGCTACTTTGAGGGCCAGTAGGATGACTGAGGGGGCAAAGATGACTGCCACCAAGCCTGACAACCTGCATTTGATCTCTGGAGTCTGTGTGGTAAAAGGAGAAAACTGATTCCCAAAAGTTGTCCTCTGACTTCCACATGTGCACCATGGCTCACTCACATCCACACATATACACATGCATGCAAAGTAAATTAAAATGAAATAAAAAAATTTAAAGCAGCTTTGAGTTCCATCTCACTCCAGTCAGAATGGCTATCATCAAGAAAATAAGTAACAGAAAATTCTAGAAGGTTGTGGGGAAAGAGAAACTAATGTAGCCAATATGGAAGTCAGTGTGTTAGGTTCCTCAAAGCACTGAAAATTAAACTATCATATGAGCCAGCTATACCACTTCTGAATATATAGGCAAAGGACTCAAGTCAGCATATCACAGAGATACTTGCATACCATGGTGTTTATTGTCACACTAGCTAAGGTGTGGCACCAATCTACAGGTCCATCAGCAGATGAATGAATAAAAAGAGTACACACAATAGAATTTTTTGTCATAAAGGAAAATGAAATAATGACATTTTCAGGAAAATGTATGAAACTGGAGATCATTGTGTGTATTACTTTTCTGTTGCTGTTATAGAAACACTGACCAAAGCAACTTATAAAAGGAAGAGTTTATTTGAGCTTACGGGTGCCCGGAATTACAGTCTGTCACAGCAGGGAGGCATGGTGGCTGAAGTGGCTGGAGCAGAAGTGGAAGCTAGGCTCTACATCTTCCGGCAGGCACAGGGAGCAAGAAAGCGACTAGGGATTTGGCAAGGCTTAAGAACTCTCTAAGACCACCCCTAGTGACATGCTTCCTCCAGCATAGGCACACCTTCTAAGACCTTCCCAAATGATGCCACCAACTGGGGACAAAATGTCCAAATATTTGGAGCATATGGGAGACATTTTCATTCAAACCACCACATTGTGTTAAAGAGAGGATGATGGAACATGTGATCTGAAAGGAGAAGGGAGGACTGTTTACACAAAGGAAGGGGAACCAGCAAAGTGGGAGGGAGCTGAGGGAGAGCAATGCAGGAAAGTGAGGAGTAAGAACAAAGTTGATGATGTAAATGGATGAAAATGGCATTGAAACCCATCACTATGCTAACTAAACATGAATATCATATTGTAATATCACATTTTAGGTTTCTATTCATCAGCTTTGAGCATTTGAATTATTTCTATCTTTTGGCTATTATATATAATGCTGCTTGTGGACAAGTTCTTATATGGATATAATTCTTAATTCTTTGGGATGTATCAAGACTTTCTATCCTTCAGTAATTTACCATGGGTTCAAGTTTTTACAACTCTACCCTAACTTCCTGGACTGAAATAAGGGTCTTCTTAAGATCCTGATAACTCTCCTATAATACTTACTGTATTGAACTATCTCTTCATTTATGCTTCCTCTTCTCCTTTCTAAGTTTTTGGAGAATAGAATCACTACCTTATTCAGTAGTACTGACTGTAAACAGTACAAGTGTTCATCAATATTTGTTAAATTAGAGGAACTGTGAAGCAGTGTGTGTGTCTTAGTTTGTTTCTCTGTTGCTGTGACAAAATACTCTGACCAGTACCAACTTGGGGAGGAAAGGGTTTATTTTATCTTACATTTCCTGGAACCCAAGGTAGGAACTCAGGGCAGGAACCTGGAGGCAGGAGCTGGAGCACAGGCCATGGAGGAACACTGCTTACTGGCTTGCTCCCTGGTCCCTGCTCAGCCTGCTTTCTTATGCAACACAGGCCCACCTGCCCAGGGGTGGCACCACCCACAGTGGGCTGGGCCCTCCCACATCACTCATCAAGAAGATGCCCCTCAGACATGGCCACAGGCCAGTCCAATAGAAGCAATTCTCCAACTGAGGCTCCTTCAACCCAGGTGTGTTAAGTTGACACTAAAGCTATCCAGCACACTGTGCTTTTGAATTAAACTGTATTTCATTATTCTTCTGTCTTACATAAATTGACCTTTTAAAAAAGGTATTCTAGAATATATCCTGGTATAACTGACATCAATATATCTTGTTTTAAGGTCTGCAAAAAAAATTAAAAAAGATGCCAAAGAAAAGACATCAGATGAAAAACCAGATGAGATAGAAAAATTAAAGTCATACACCTACATGGAAAATGAGCCTGAGGATGATGTCTATTTAAAGCGCTTGTACCCCAGGCGGATCTATGATGTGGAGAAAGCTATTCACTTACTTAAGAAATTTCAAGTTCTGGACTTCACTAATCCAAAGCAAGGTGTTTATCTTGATTTAACACTGGATATGGCATTGGAGAAAAAGGTATGTAGACTCGGGCTTGTGAAGTGGCTACATGAATTGATGTTTTTAATTTTTAAAATTCTGGGTTGGAAGGACTAGTAGAATACATGTGGTCTGAAGAGTCGGCATGGCTCCCGACACTGAAGGTGGAAGGGGGATACCCGGGGTGGAAAGGGTTAAGCGGGAATGGGGGCAGGGAGAGGGGAGAGTTGGTTAGGCCAGAGGAGCAACCAAAACTAAGGCTGTGTGAAAGGAGGCCTGCTATTTTGTAAGCTAACAAAAAAAAAAAAAAAAAAAAAAATTTAAAGAATTTCTCTTCAGTAATAATTTTGAGAAAATCTGATAGTCTTTCCTAACAAGTACAAAATATATTGAAAGCCTCTAGAGAGTTGGCCTTCTCTCCTTTGCTCTGTAAATCTCAGCATGTCCACCTTTATTAGAAAGATGGATAAAATGTTTAGTTCATAGGGATCTATTGAGGATTAAATGTGGTAACACATGGAAAAGGCTTAGAAAGTGCTGAACACTTACCATATTTACCTGAAGAGTCACTAGTATGAATTTCAATAAAAATGTGCCAAAATTGAGGTAGCAGTATAACTTTGAAAAATGACTTCATTACCTGGGTGTCATTTTTCTCTTTGTGAGAGCTTTGGATGAACTCTAGTGTATTCCTTAAAGTCCTAGGTTGACACCAAGCTAGCACAGGTGAAGGTCTTCAGCGCCTTTTTACTTCAGAGTGACATTTAATATCTTTTTTTGAGGTTGTCTTTCGGGGTCAAACTAGAAGATACATGTACTTGAATGCATTCTAGCAACCTCACTACCACCAGTAAAGGACCTAGGAACAGGCAGCCCAGCACAATGCTAAAGAACATGGGCTAACGTCAGGTTACAGACTAGACCAGTATCCTGCCCTCACCTTTTCACTTTGGGCTTCTATCCTTGGATTCCTTGCTTTATCTCTTTAAATCTCAGCATGTTCACCTTTGCTTTTATTTATTTTTATGTTTTTATATTTGGTTGAATTTTTAATGTTCACCTTTATTATAAAGATAGATAAGTGTTTAGTTCATATGATTCTATTAAGAATTAAAAATGATAATGCATGTGAAAGGTGTTTGCTTAATAATAACAATCAACATTTACCAAAAACTTTGTGCAGGTCAGCTACTATTCTAAGTAGTATTTTACATTCACTTTCTTATCTAATTCTGTAATTTCAGACAGTTGAGGCACAAAATGTGAAGTATTTTACTTAAGGCATAGAAAGAATTTGAACCAAAGCTTGGGCTATTTGTTTTTTTAGAAAAATTATGCGTATGCGTGTTTGCCTGCATCTATATTTTTACACCATGTATGTGCCTGGTGCCCATGGAGGCCAGAAGAGAGCATTGGATCCCCTGGAACTGGAGCTACATAGGTAGTGAGCTGCAGTGTGGGTGCTGGGAACCCAACTCAGGTCCTCTGCACGAGCAGCAAGTGCTCTTAACCTCTGAGCTATCTCTCCAGTCCTCTTGGGCCATTTTTTAGATGTCATTTATGAGAAACAACTTAGACCATGTTATAATTTCTATTTTATACTTTAGTTTGTGTTAATTCATTTATTTTTATAATATCCAGGATGAGCCTTTTTATCTATCAATCATTAATGAAATTCATAACAGCATCTTATAGGACCCCAAGCACAATTTTGTATATGGAAGCCACTTATAAACTAATGGTACTGAAAAAGATGCTGTCCTTGTTGTAAGTTTGCTTTTTGGTGTGTGTGTGTGTTTGTGTGTCCCCAAGGGCCTTGAGCATTTTAAGCAAGCAGTCTACCACCTTGTTATATCCCAGCTTCTTGTGGCTGTTAATGTTTCTCATCAAATATTTGCATAGCAAGGTGGTGTTTCCCAGGGGATGCCACTATGATAGTTGTTTACCTTTGGAAATTTTACTGAAATAGGTTGTGACATGTTAATAGCAAAAGAATGCCAATCAATGAAACGCAAATTGGATGCAAATATAAAATATACTTAAGAATTCATATTTTCTGGCCTGAAAAATCCCCAGAGACTATCTTTACTTGAGATAAGTTTTTCTAAAAATGCAACCTTTCAATGAGTTTTATCAGAGGAACAATCCCTTTTCTCTTCTGCCAAATCTACAGAGGGCTTAGAACCTGTTTTCATATGAAATCTTCCTAAGAGATCTGAGCCTCAGATCTGCATAGGTCCTAGATCAAAATGACTAAGCACGTTAATTCTGAGGTCTTGTGAAATTTGTATCGGTGTTATGCAGCCTCAATTGCATGCCATTGTGTATTTTGGATTTTCCAGTCTACTTTCCAAATATATCTGAAAGGGATGGTGGTCCAGGTTATACTAAAATAGACCCACTGAGAAGAGACTTTCAGGCTTGGCATTCTGCCATAGTTCTAGGGTTTATATTCATAATTATCTGGAGCTATGATGCACATGAACTGGGTACTGTCTACTGTTCAGTATGTACATTCGTCATCTTTTTTGGGCCAGAAAATTACATTAAAATATTAATTCAAGGTAGCAAACATCTGTTGGTTCTCAGGAAATGGAAAATGTTATACTAGGTATTGGTGAGATACAGATAGGAATATGTATCTTTCAACGTTTGAGACATTATAAGAAATGAGGTGGATAAAATCCATGTGCCTTGAGGTGTAAGGCTAGAAAGAGATTTTAATTTTTATTTTGGTTTCATAAAAAAGAAATATAATCTCTTGAGCTTTAAATTGTAATCAAGGAATACTTGGGGAATAAATGGGAGGACATTTATGATAGAATGAAAGAACTAAAGATAAGAGCCGGGTGGTGTTGCACATGAGGCTGTATTCCCAGGACTCAGGAAGCTTAGGCAGAGAGTTTTGAGGCCAGCCTGGTCTACATAGAAAGACCCTACCTCACCAAACAAACAAGAGCAAGCCCCAAGAGCGAAACATGTTAATTGTAGCTTTTATAGACTCTAGGAGATATTAGGAAAGATGACCTTTTCATGATTATTTTTCTTCCCTATTCTATGTTTAGAAAAAAGTGGAGCTGTTTGCCAGTGTTATTAGTTTTCCATATCCTTTTACTTCAGAAGTCAACAGAGTTGCCGTATTTACCAGGGTAAGTAAGAATAGAATAACTGAACAGAATTAGAGAACATTTTAATAACATCGGTCATTTAGAGTTCAAAGTAGATGACTTAATTGAAAGCTGAACTATAGCATTACTTTCATTATCTACCCCATCACATTAATGTTTTGCATAAAAAAATGAAGAGAAGTGTGGACTTTATCCTATGAATCCCCTGCCTAGTACTCAAAGCATCATTAGGATTATTTTACAAAATAATGAGCCAGCTTATTGTTGTGGGGGCTCAGAAACCATGACTTACACAGGTATCTCTTCAGGAAAGCCAGCAAAATGAGGCAAATGTGGTCATCAGCTCTTTGTCAGTCTTTCTGTGTTATTAGCATTTGCCTATAATGTACTAATGAGTTGTTTTGTTTTTTCCTACTTCACCATTTAAATCTCATACTTTTGCATTTTTAGTCTTCTCTGCTTCACTTTCAAGGAGGAAGCTACTTTCTTTCCAGAAAAGTGGGGAATATAGTTATCAGAATGCCACAACACTGCAGGAGGGAAACATTTTCACAATGATAGAAAATGGGATATATGGGAAGAAAACCACTAATCTTTGTGTTTTAATTTTAAAATTTTCAGTCGTTGCTGAATTTTAGTTGTTTGATTTCTTAAATTTTTTCCTCATATTATTTTTATAAAATATAAGTTAACAAAACTGTATTTTAAGCTTTTAGTTTTAGAAGATAATAAATGGTGCTATAACTGGGCCTGTGACTTGGCAGGTTCTTAAACACCATTGTGGGCATGCCCTCTGTCAAACACTCCAGTGACCTATAAGCTAAAGTTTTTTTCTGAATGTAATCTGTCTGAAGCATATAATTGAAAACTGATGCATATTTAATTAAAAAAGAATAATGAATTTGTTTAAATTGATTAATATTGAAACTATTGTGCTTTGGTAGAACACATCAGATATTAAAATAGCAGAAGAAAATGGAGCTGCATTTGCAGGAGGAACTGATCTGATTCAGAAGGTACTGCACTTTCGTGTTCAGTAGTTACAAATCGTCTGCCATCTTTGCTATCCATCAGTTTACAACATTTACTCGTGATAACTAGGCTTGTCTCTTTGCTAAGGCTTTAGAAGAAGAGGAAAGTTTTTCTTACTTTCTTCAGTCTCAAATCTAAGAAAAAGCCATCTGAACAGTTTGATTGTTGATTTTTTAATTTATTCATTTGTTTATTGCTTTCTTTTGTCTAGAAGAGGTTTGTGCATAAAATATAAAGGGCAGTGCTACTCAGATTTTAAATGGGAAATTTAAAATGAAATCCAAAAGTTGGTATGCACATACATCTCATTTATCTTTTAAAGACCAACTGTATTTTGCTTTCTGGAAGTCAAAGTATGATTCACTGGGTAGATCACAAAGTATGGTATCTGTCTCCATAGTATGATGTTGCCACTGAACTTTTACTCCCTGGTCAGTTCAGAGTGTCAGAGGCTCAGCTTGGGGGCTGATAAATTAGCCCACCTTCAGAAATAACAAGAGCCTATGAAACCTTTTTTAAGGGGATAGCATTTTTTTAAGATGTGGGAGAAGACACATAATTATATCTAAAAATTGCAAAAGATTTTCCTTAACAGTCTCTAAAAGTGTTTTTTGGGCATGGGGTTGCCGGAGGGAGACAGAGCCCCACTTTGTAGCCTTGGCTGGTCTGGAACTCACAGAGATCTAAGTGGTGTGCCACTACACTGGGTGAAAAGTTCCTCTTCTGAATATAGTTAGTTACAGTAGGGGGGTGGGCTGTGAGAGAATAGTAAAAACTGACTTGGAAATTTGTCCTTTGATACATGCCCATCTTTGTGTTTGGGGAACCTTTAACTAGGCTTATCTTTTGGGATATACTTTAGCAGTGCTAAAGTTTTCTAGTTCAGTAGAGCTCTAAATTTGCTGGTGACTTTAGATTTTTGAATAAAATTTCCAAAATGAGCTTTGGGATCAGAACGAGAAAATAGGAATAAATCATACTTTGACACGGGTTCTTGGCCAACACTAGTGTCCTAGTCTTTCTGGCACATCATTTTAATCTTTTTTTTTTTAAATATATATTTGAATGACATATTTTGGTAAGATTTCATGTAATCATTCGGTTAGTCAATCACTCACTCATTCACTCACTCAGTCAAATCAATCATTGGTAAAATATTTGTGCCTTGGTAGTATTTTTCTTCTAAAAAGTTATTTCACTGAATATTAATCCATTTACTCTGAGAGTGGATATTGAGTGTGGATGATAAATGTAAGTGGCCTTGTCTTTGCTTGTCCCCTTTTGTTTTTATTACTGATGACAAGGAGAATTTTGTTTTAGTTATTTGTGAAAATGATGATTGTGCTGGATAGCTTTAATGTCAACTTGACACACCTGGGTTGAGGGAGCCTCAATTGGGGAACTGCCTCCATTGGACTGGCCTGTGGCCATGTCTGAGGGGCATCTTCTTGATGAGTGATGTGGGAGGGCCCAGCCCACTGTGGGTGGTGCCACCCCTGGGCAGGTGGGCCTGTGTTGTATAAAAAAGCATGCTGAACAGGGACCAGGGGAGCAAGCCAGTAAGCAGCATTCCTCCATGGCCTGTGCTCCAGCTCCTGCCTCCAGGTTCCTGCCCTGAGTTCCTACCTTGGGCTCCCTGATGAACTGTGACCTAGGAGTTGTGAGCTGAATAAATTCTTTCCTCCCCAAGTTGGTATTGGTCAGAGTGTTTTGTCACAGCATTAGAGAAACAAACTAAGACAGTGATCCATCCAGTTCTTCTGATATACTAAATTTAGAAAGTTAGTGGTTGCTAGTGAGGTTCGCAACCAGTAGTTATTAATTTTGCAGGTGATCTACTGCAAAGTTTCACCTTCTTTCTTCAGTTTTAGTGTACATAAATTCAGCCTTAGGAGACTTACATGAGTTGTGTTTATGTTAGTTCTGCCTAGCTTATAGTAACAACCCTTTGCATAGCATAATCTTGTGGAAGTAATTATTAAACTATTAAATTGTGTAAAAAGTAGATGGGGCTATTTTTAAAATTAAAGAATGTTTTGCTTCTAATGTTTTTCATAATTGGTAAATGAATTCATATGATTCTGTGTTTGAAGTAAAAGTATGCATAATATTTTTTGAGTCATAATGGAAATTACTTATTTTCAAAAAGATGAACATTTTCATATAATCCGGTTATTTTTCTCTGATTTTCAGATTTTGAATGATGAAATTGTTGTAGACTTTTATGTAGCTGTTCCAGAAATGATGCCTGAACTTAATCCATTAAAGAAGAAACTGAAAAAGAGATTTCCCAAGTCTACTAGAAGTAAGGGAGAATTCTTTTTATTAATTCATTAAGAAACCAAAGTTTCTAGTAAGTTATAGAGCAAATATTATGTCTAATATTTGAGATTGCTGTTGTGAGAATATGTATGTAGCTTTTATGCTTTTCTCTTTGGGTAGTATTGTATTATAGTATAATGTGAGTGCCTATTAGAATACTTTTTTAAAAAAAAAAAAAAGGGCATAGCGTAACTCTAATTAATGGAACATACTACCTACCAAGTACGTTGTTATCATACTACTTTGTTGACTTCTTCTTTATCAATATATATTCATTTAAGCAACCAACAAGTATATAAATGCATATGCTTAGTGCATGTCTCTAAAAGTATTTTCTCTTAGAATTCTTCTTCATGAAGTTCCTAATTAAGAAATATAGTAAAAGAGGTAATGTTGCTACATAAAGCACCATAAGTGTTATAAAATTTCAAGTATTAGTTGACAAATTCATAAGGTGCTATTTTTTTCATTGTGGGGGGTATTTGCATATAGGTGAGGAACAAGAAAGGCATCATGAATTAGGTGACATTTAAGCTGTTCCCAGAATATGTGGATGACTGAGAAATAACATTTTAGGTAGAAAAATATATATGAATCATAGACACTAAAGTAAGTTAGAGAGTATAGACTGACTCCAAGAAGTGCCAATTAGGTCTCTGGCTATAGGGAATTGGACTTCTACATTGATGTGGAAGGGAACAATAGGACAAGATATGGGAGGTGGACTGATGTTGTTTTGAGAAGGGCTTTGAGTGGGGAGCAGATGATCATGGACTTTTATTCTGTATTCAGCAGGAATCATAGATGTTTTAAGGTGTGATTTGACATGATCCATTCTTTAGAGCTTTAATCTGGCGATAGTGTGAGATATACTGGCCTGGATTGAAACTAGAGGGGGGGAACCCAGTTAGGGTACAAATTGCCAGAGACTAATAAAGGTAATGTTTACACGAAGTTCTTCACAATGAGAATGAAGAGGACAAATATTAAAGCCTTTAGGATCTATAATTAATTAGGAAGGGACTGGAGCAAGATAAGAGAAGAGCCAGACTTCTGAGCTCTGTAAGCCTAGGTATGTGCCCTGGTAAATGGAGTCATGAATGGAATCAGGAATATACAGTGGAAAGAAAGTAAGTACACGCGCAGAACAAGTTCACTTGTAGGTTGTGCCGGATATCTGGTGGAGGTTGGGGTTATTTTGAAAAAAAATTATAAACAAGGATTTTAAAATTTGTTTTGGTAAATTTGTTTTCAAATTTCACCTGTAGTGGAGCTAAAATGTAACTGCAATTCATCCTTCATGTTAGCCACCAACACTTGGCGTGATTGAACTAAAAAATTCAAATGGAACCTCAGGTTCTGTTGTCTTATAGTTTCATTATTTTTTGTAGCCTGCATCAAATCACATGTCCTCATTGGATATGGGGCTGAGGCTTGGCATCTTCATTAGAGACTTCCATTGTAGCTCTCCTTGTCATGGAATCAGACTTAGATTTTTCCCAAGTCAGAACTGAAATTTAATATTACTGAAAAAAACAAATTTTCAGTCAAATGTAAGGAAAATATTTCTCAAAAATAATTTTTATTTCTAATTAAACTTAAGCCGTAATCAGAGTCAAACAAACAGTACTAAATGTGACTAAATGTTAAAACTGAAACTGAATATTGAGTATCTATATTCATCTAGCTTTTTGCTTTGATAGGTGAGCTTGTTTTCACAAACACTCATTTTGTCTCCTTTACTACTTTATTCTGTATATAAACCTTTTAGATTGTGTTTTCTTTGAGCTTGAGGGTCTTTTAAAATTATCATAGCTATAGGGCTGGGTATGCCTTTAATCCCAGCCCTCCAGGAAGCAGATTTCTGTGAGGTCAAGGCCAGCTGGGGCTACAGGGAGACCCTGTCTCATAAAAGACCAAAAAAAAAAAAAAAAGGAAAGAAAAATATTATCATAGTCATTACAAAATTGGGAACTGTTGTTTTTTAGTCTGGAAGGTTTTCAGATAACTTATTTTTATCAGTGGAATTTACTTTATTTCTACTTTCATAATGAACTATACCTTCTCCATAGCACAGTCAGTACCTGTGTGTTCCTCCCCACCATTTGCTTTAAAAGGTACTTGAAGAAACACATCATTCCTCTTCTCTAACATTATCTTTTCACCCCTACAAGGTATATTTAACAAAGCTAGCAAACATTTGTGTTCTTTAATCATGAAGACAAACTCTTAACCTTTCAGAACAGTAAACAGAACACCCCAGATGTGCATTAGAACAAATGAAGCTTGTATCGTGCATTTTTATAGGTTATTCAGATTCTTGTTAGGAATCTTTGATTCTGCTTATCCAACAAAACACAGTAGGGTAAAAAAGAAACTACATTTTGAACAGGAGGATGAAATTAAACACAAACCAGCCCCTGCAATTGTGTTCATTAGTCCCTGTGCTGTCTCAGTTTTACTAGCAGGACTGGGTGTGGCATCTTGGGTAGAATGAATGTGCAGAGTTTATAGGATGTTTTGTTTCACTCTAATTTTTTACATAACTGTTAGGCAATTTCACTATTTTTCAAATTCATGTTTGGCTTATTTTCTCAGTATTTCTTTTTTTGTTTCATGAGAAATATTTAAAACTTGTTTGGAAGAAATTTGGCTTCATTTACTAATTACTGCTGCTGCCTCCACAAGTGCTTTCTGAAATTATTTCATCTCTAATATAGATGTGTTTTCTTTTCCTTTGTGTGTGTGTGTGTGTGTGTGTGTGTGTTCATTCATGTGTCTCTGCTTGTGTGTGTTCAGGTATGCATACTCATGGAGGCCAGAGATTAGTGTCACGTATCGTCCTCCATACCTTTCCACCTTATCTTTTGAGACAGGATCTCACTGAGTGTGACCAATAAGCTGCAGGGTCCTCCTTTCTCCACCCCTACCCTATAGCACTGGAGCTACAGATATGTGCCAAGATGCCTGGCTGCTGGGTGCTAAGGATCTGAATTCAAGTCCTCATGCTTGTGTACAAGCACTTTACTAAACCGTTTCTTCAGCACCTACATGTTTTCTTGATATTAAAATGTTTTTATTTCTAGTCTTATTACTTACTACCTACTAAATAAAAAAAAAACGAAAAAGAAAAATACCTTGAACTTAATGAGATCTACTTTCTATTATGCACATTATCCTGTGGAATAGGTACTATGGCAGATATAGAAATGATCTAATTATTTTATTTACTTATTTGGTGCTGGGGAATGAGCATATGTCCTTATGTAAACTAAGCATGCACTCTATTTTAAATGATACTAAGTTACTGGGGCTGAAGAGATGGCTCAGCAGTTAAGAACACTGACTGTTTTTGCAGAAGACCCAGGTTCCAATCCCAGCAACCACATGGCAGCTAACAACTGTCTGTAACTCCAGTTCCAGGGGATCTGACAGCCTCTTCTGTCCTCTGCAGGCATTGCACAGCTCAGGTGCACTTACCTACATGCAGACAATACATGCATACACAGAAAATAAAAATAATAAATATTTTTAAAAATCTTACTAAGTTGCCAATAGGTACATGAGAGGGACAAAAGAGAAAGGGACATGATTAGACTTTAGAATTGTACTAATACATATTTCTCTTAAGTTTTAGCTCTTAGAGTTGAGCACCAGTGTTCTAGTTGGAGTGTAGCCCAAAGGATATTCACATCTACTGAATAGACATTGCTTTCTATAAAGAAGTTGCTGTATTATACTTAGGGCTCATAAATGCTAAAATTTTAGAAATTTAAATTACATATTAGTAGGGCTGGAGAGATGGGTCAGCAGTTAAGAGCACTGGCTGCTTTCACAGAGGACCTGGGTTTGGGTCTCAGCACCCACATGGCAGCTAACAACCATCCATAGCTCCAGTTACATGGGATCTGATGCCCTCTTCTGAGTTCTGTGTGCACTTACATACATGCAGGCAATACACTCATACACATAAAATAAAAAATATTTTTTAGGTCTTGGAATAATATATACTTCCAGGTGTTGTTTGCATTAACAATAGAACTCTTGCATGACTTAAGGAAAAATGAAAAAAACAGAATTTTCTAATAGGTGAATTAAAAAGCTGTTCATCCATAAAAGAAGCCATTAATGATTAGGTAGTTATAATTATAGGTGCATTATGAGTATCTTGTGGATGGTCCTGCTGTGAACTTTGTTTTCATTCCTGGAGCCCTCTGATGGCTGCCTTGCTCCTTCTCTCACATGCACACACTGTTTGTTTTCTCAGGTCTCTGAGTTTATTTTTCATATCTGCAGTGTTCTTTGCTTATCTGCGTGGCCTGCTTTCTTACTCCAATATCATCTGAACAGAAAAAGCTCTCATGACCATCCAGTGTAAAGTAATTACTCTCCATTTCCCATTATCTATAGATATTTCATTATTGGGCCTCTGTATTCTTTTTAGGAGTTGGCATATCTGGCATCTCCTGTATTTGTGGTATATGTTTAATTTCTTCTGTTAGAGTCAAGTTATATTTTATCTATTGTTATAGTCTCATGGCCCAGAATAGTACCTGGTCAAGGGTACATAGTCTACTAATATTTGTACAATGAATGAACATTTAGTGCAAGATTTAGTTGGAGGAAGGTATAGAATACCTCAACTGAAATGTGGATTAATTATAATTTATGTTTTTTTGAATAATTGTGTTATACTAATTGAGTCTGTAGTGTATGCGTAACTGGACATGACAAGTGTGAACATGGTAGACAAGGTCTTTGATGTCTAGGCACTAGCAGTTTTATTTTCTACAGTTAGACAAACCAGCTTAGCTTGCATACTTAATCATGCCTGGATTTGTCTAGTCAAAGAACAAAATACATCTGCTTTTCTAGTTTTGTTTGGCTGAGCTACAGTCTTAGTTCTTCTTTATACCAATTTTGAAAAGAAATGTCTGTCAGTGATTGGTTGCCTCTGTTTCCTTACCAGACATTATTCTTCTT